CAACTGACAAAACAATTTTGTTTTTGCTTTTATTTGTTTGTTTCTGGCAACACAGCAAATTCTAGGGAACTATGTTCTATCACATACCAAATCTGTCAGGCCTAGATCGGTCTATATATGTACTCAGTAAATCACTATGCAAAGGCACAGTAGAAAACCCGTTTTTCATTAATAGCACTGAATCTTCCAAACCTCTCAGAAATGGATACAAATCCTGATCAAAGCTGTAATTAATTCAAAAGTTCCTTGTTTAACAAGCAGTCTATCAGGCACATTAAACACTGCATGAGCATTCCTTTGTTCCTGCAACAGAACTTTCCCTTTCTCCCCCCCCCCCACTGCCTTAGCACCCCACTTCCAAAGGGTGCCCAAACATTCCAGGGAAATTTGGAGACATTCAGGGAGAAGACGAATCCATTCCATTGGCGAATGCCATTCCACTGCCTGAAAGACACAGTCAGATGGTCGATTTCCTGAAGTGATACACACTTTGCAATCTGTGGATTTTTTAAAATATGATTATGTGTATAATAAATGTTATTAAAAGGAGTGTTTTAAGTTGTCATCCTGTACCCACCAACATTAGAGAAGCTCCACTGAACTCAATAGACTTTTTTTAAGTAGCTGTGTGTAGGATTACACTGGAAACAACTTGAGAAATGGGACTTATCTCCAAATGAAACAATCAAATATAAAGAAAACAAGCAATACTTAAACCACATGGGAGGAGTGAGTTATCCAAGGTATTTTTCCTGGCATTGCAATGCCTGACTCACTTGCCTGCCGTATGGCATCCACCCCAGCCCTTCCTCCTTTCTCTGTTTCTGACATTTCTTTAGCCCAGTTATATCACAGTTTTCATATTCCTCTGTTTCCCCCCAGTATGTAGTAGCAGTGTGTGTTAAACTTGTGGCACTGCTGAATGAGTTCATTGAGCTGGAGGGGAAAAGGAAGGACGTATGCTACCAGAGCTTCAGCAAAACAACAGGAGATTGTTGAGTTGCTTTTCCACACCTTACACTACTCCCACACACACAGCTTCTCTCTCTCTCTCTCTCTCTCTCTCTCTCTCTCTCTCTCTCTCTCTCGCGCTCTTTCAGTCTGACTCACAAATGCAATGCTGCTTCCCTGCACTCCTCCCTTGTCCTTGGAAAAAATAACACCTGAACTGTCTTTCCAAGCCTTCCCAATGGTCTCCTTTGTCCTCTTGTTCCAGGAACAACCAGCTGAAATGCATGTCTACTCAGAAGTAAATCATACTGTCTTCAATGGCCTTGCCCTCAAATAAAGCTCATTGATTCAGTGATGCTTCCTTCCGCACAGGAGTTGGACTGGTTTGCTTTTGGGTGGTGGGGAACGGGGTGCTGGTCCTGGAGGCCAGTAGCAAGCAGCACCACAGTGCCTCTCACTCTCTATGGTTTTTTGTTGGGTTGTTTCTTTTGAAGGAACAGAAGCAGCTTTCCTGCTCCCATCTCTCTCTCTCTCTCTCTCTCTCTCTCTCTCTCTCACACACACACACACACACACAATTTTTAGGACTCTGTTCCTTTGCTCATTCACATTTCTGCTCAGTTGAAGGATTTAAACATGAAAACTGTGGGGTTTTTTTTAATTTCTCCTACAATTTCATTTGTGTGTGACATAGAAACAGAGCAAGTCAGAAGGGGTCTATTGGGCCATCTAGTCTGACCCCCAGCTGACATAACCATACCTTTTCAGCTCTTTTCAACTGGGCCCCAACTGCAGTAAAAATGTCTTGCATAAATACAAGATTGTGCTCCTTCATAAATGGAAGGGGCTGTAGCATAGATTCCCCCTGATTTAGACCTTGTCTTTCTTATGTGGAAGAAAATAAGGCAAAAATAATCCCGAGCTGAGTTGTGTTCCTTCAGAACCACATGAGGTATAGATCAAAGATACCATTTTCGAATGCTTCCTAATGTGATTAATTCTCTGCAGCTAAAGGAAAAAGAAGCTGGTAGCAGAGGAGGAAGAACGGTTCTGAGTCCACTCCTCGGCTATGAATTTTCTACTTATGGGGTGTTGTTTTTGCTTTGTTTTTAACATAGACGGGATTTGGAAACACAATCCTTCCACTGCAGGCAGAAACTGAAATCTTCTGTTGTGTGGAGAGAGCCATATAAAACGGAATTGTCTGGATCCAGTCTCCTGACAACTGTCTCATCTTGTCCAAAACGTGACCTTCTCTACTCAGGGCTTCTATTGTGCACTCACGACCCTTCACTAATGCAAGTTTGTGGGACCTTCTCACAATGACATGGTCTTCCATAGCTTCTCTCATGCTTTCCAACCTTTTTCGCAGGTTTTGTTTTAGAGCTAGTAAAGTCTGGTATTAAATGTTAAGTCATAACATAGGGGAGCAAAACCTCCAGAGAAGTCACAGAGCCACTGTTGTGTAGCTCTATCACAGTTCTACTTTGTGCTCGATTCTTAACATATGTAAAAGGCAAAGACATGCACACCCCATGAAAAGGTTGCATTTTTCCTCCCACAATGAAAAAGAAGAATCCTCACTAAAGGAGGTTAAGCTCCTTATCTAGAGAGGCCTTGAATGACTCTAAAAAACAACACGGCTGCTAGAGAATAGGGTTTTTTTTTCTTTTTAATTCATCTAAATACCACAAATGCAAGCTCACAAAGAGTAGCATGACAGCATCCATCAGAATTCTGAACCACCTCAGGAAGCAAATCCTGCACCTATTTCTCCCCAGATTCCATTACTTTAAACCATATTCAAGGGGAAAGTGTGCAGATGGCTGGTGAAATGAAAGGAGCATTTACAGAAGGAATTTTTCTGCATAAAGGGGGATGTATACAGAACCCTATTTGCATTTGAAGTTTCAAGATCAAGTTGCTCTGGTCAGTTGCTAAGCAAGGATCAGCCATGAAATCTGGAGAGTCAGTTGCCACTTCCAGTAATTTACGGCATGCCAGATAGCGTTGTGCCGCTTAAATAATAAATGCAGCGCCATTCATCCCTTGTAGTTGTGGTACCTCCAGTGGCCTCTTAAAAAACTTCACACTTTCAATTTAAACCAATCCAGTCCAATGAAATATTTATATTTTCCAGTAAAAAGAGCCATTACCATCACACAGTGTTACCTTTCCTGCAGCATCAAAGATGAAGGAAGGGGGAGGACATGACTAGTACATAAGCCCACTTGTGGGGCTGTAGATTTGTCCTGTTTGCTTATGGGTCACTGAGCAAATCAGTACTGTCTTCCTTCGGTACCCTTGAGCATGGCTCCAGGGTTTCTTTCTGCTGGCAGGACCATCGTGAGTTGAGGCCTCCTCATGGGACACTCTGGTTGGTGGAAGTGGGGAGGCAACTGTCGCCATTTCTCTCCTTCTCCCTGCAGCCCCTTGCAGTCCCTAAAACATGCTCTGGAGGAGTGTGGGACCCTCCGAACAGTGGCAGGAGGATGCAAAGGGAGAATCAGCAATTGTTTCTGCCCTTCCTATCCACATTCCTCCAGTGAGATGCCCTCTTGGTTCACAAGCCCTTGTGTGAATGGATCAAGGGTATGCAGGATCCAAGTCATGCTTGTGTATTTGGCTCAGAGAAGTACACACTTTTTAAACTGAACTAATAAAGCTACTCTCCAATCATTGAGTCTTTTCTTGGTTGCATTTATTTGTCCATGGATAATTCCCAATGATCATAAACATATAAAACTGAGAAAAGCATTGTTCAAATTATAACTGTTGACTGATCACTGGTCAGAGGTATCTTCGAATGGGAGCTCCCCATAATGTCAGGTCAGCAGCTGGGGCAAATCTGGCATTAACCAAACCAAAGTATCCCTGAAATGGTATGTAAAGACTGCAAAGAATTCCATTCACCTCCAATAATTCTTTCTCTATATAAATTCATGGAACTTCTCCCTACAACAGGTACATTTAGCTCCCACTCTATTTAATTTTGGTTTGGCTCTAAAGACACCTTCCTTTCAGTCTGATGGTAGATAAATGGAGGGGGCTTTTTCCTGATTCCGGTTGTGCGTAAGTATTTTAGAAGGTACGACTGGCTGGAAACAGTAGGTGTTATGATGTAAATGTTGGTTCTGATTATTCAAAATGATTTTACCATATTGGTATATCACCATGGATTTTTTAAATACCTTGAAAGGTGACCTAGGTGTGTCAAGGCCAACAGTCGTTCTACAGAAGGCATTTATTGTCACTCATGATTCCTCTCTCACAATAGTTTGCTGCTGCGCTATGCAAGGCCAGATTCCAGGGACTCATGTATTTCACAACCATTTTAGCATCCCCCCTCCATCCCATGATGAGATATCCATGAACAGGAGCAAGAAATCCTCCTGTTTGTGCACTTCTACTGTTGCACAGTCCACCTACTGGTCCTATAAAGGAACAGATAGAAAGGCAGAGAATAACCCTGGGAAAAACATGCATAAAGAACCATTCTCAATCCCACAAAGAATCCAGAAGCCTTGGCCAATGGATGGGTTAAAGGCCGCATGTGGGAGAGTCTCTAATTCGCCCTGGGATCTCCAGAAAACAAGAGCCTCCCACATCCACACAGGCCTCATGCATTCACTGCAATGCCACAGAAAGCAAGCTTTCTACCAAAACGTAGTAGTAATACTTACAATTTGTCTAGCCAAAGTACTTCATATACACTACACCTCTGCAATCCTTACAACAATCTGCAAGGTAAGCCAGCATAATCCTCCCCCATAGGTTAGGTGAAAGTAGATGGTACAAAAGCTGAGAAAGCGTGGCACACGAAGGCCACCGAGCGACATCATGGCAGAAGCGAGATTCTGAGTGGGGATTTCCTGATTCATGGCTCAGCCCCTTACCAAGCAACACAGGGGTGGGGAACCTGCTACCTTGCAGATGATTTGGATCATCACTCCCATGCACAATAGCCAGCTGTAGTCCAGAACATCTGGAGGCCAGCAAGTTGCCTAGCCCTGCACTAACCCCACCCCAGCTCTCAAAATATGCCCACATCAGATAAAATATTCCAAGAATTTATTCCTTTCCACATCCATTGCTTCCGTTTCCATCTCATACTGTTTCATGGCCACAAAATACCGGACAAAGTTGTTACCGAGAGCTTCCCTGATGCACTCATCTTCCTGAAGCGCGACAAGTGCATCTTCCAGTTTCAGTGGGATTGTGGCAGCTCCAAAGCGAGCAGAACTCTGGCTCTCCTCCAGTGGCTCCTGGAAACTGAGTTCTCTCCTTATGCCATCCAGGCCCGCGGCAATTGTCGCAGACAGCACCAGGTAAGGATTTGCTGCGGCTGAGCCCAGCTTGTTTTCTATCTGAGTTCCCTTTTCCCCATGACCCTTGATGTTAAAAGCACAATTGTTGTCATTGCAGGACCACTTGGCAAAGGTTCTCTCCTTTGAACCCCTGCTGTAGGCGCTGTAGCGTTTACGGCAGCCAAGAGTCGGAGCCATTAGACAGCTGAGAGCTGCAGAATGCTCCAGGAGTCCAGCAAGCCAATTCTTCCCTGTACTGGAGAATTCTGGGGGATCTGAAACTGTAGAAAACAAGTTACTCTGCCCAGCATTGTCCCAAAGGCTATGGGAGAGGATGCCTGAGTTGCAGAATCCGTTCTCGGTGAAAAAGCTGGCGATATAGCTGTACTTTTTGGCCACTTCTTTAATGCCCGTTCGGAAAGTGAAAGCGCTATCCGCTGCACCCAGGCCAAACTCTGGGTGAAAAGAGACCTCCATTTGCCCAGGCCCGGTGGAAGAGGAGAAGCTCTCAATATTTGCCCCAGTATGATACATCCCATCAATGAGTTCCTGAATGAAAGACTGGTTGTGGTTGTTTAGTAGGGTTGCAGCAGGAAAAGATATTGTCTTTGAATTGACCATTTCGGCAATGCCGTAAATACAGAACTCGTAAGAGAAGGCGGAGTATAGCGCCAAGCCGCTCTCCTGGAGCTGTCTCAGCTGTTGCTTGGCAATGTACCTGGGCGAAGTCAACAGGGGCTTCCCTATTACAGTGAAGGAGTCACATATCACCCTCGCCATGTGTTCAGTCCATGGTAAAACCCGAAAGGTTGATAATTCCGGACTCAGGATTATATCACAGTTGAAATTACTTGCACTTATGTGGTTTATTTCATTATCCTTCGGATTCAGGGTCAGTTCAAGATGGCCTCTAGGCATGGCAACACCATGGATAGCTTTGGTCTAAAAAGAAGAAGGGAGAAGATAGGACTGCTTTGGACACTTGAATGTAGCCGTTATCAAGAGTAACCATTACAATTATGACAGTGATAAATGTGAGTTCAGATTCTGGGAAAGATTTCAAAAGTAGAGACTTCAGCAATTTGCCCCGTAGAGGACTCCTGCACTGTATATTGGGGGCATTGGCCTTCTTTCAAAATGGCTGGACGACATTTTGAAGAAATTCTTGGTGCCGCATTCTTATGGTGGGAGGAGCCAAAGGTAAAAGGTGTGTGGCCAAAATACCAGCCTAGTCTAGTTTACAGCCTCACTGCCTGCCAGTCAGTCTTAAGAAAGGCATTTCAACCTTTTAGGCATTCCCAACCTTTGGGAAAAAACAAAATGATTGGTAGTGGAGGAGAAAGGAGGTGGGGCCAGGAGAAGGTTGTCTGGCCTTCAAGGGAAGCCTAGAGGGCCAGATCTGATCACCTGGTAGACCAGATTCAATTCATGAGCCTGCTGTTGGACACCCTTGCTGCATATTATGGGCCGGAATGTTCCTTTAACATTTAATGTTCCTTTAACAATGCCTTGTTCCTTTAAGTATGTCCAAGGATGACCACACACACATATACAGGGCCTGTGAGGGGCTGCCATTGTGGAGTGGGGAAAGAAGTCAACAAGGTCCATGAAGCATGTATCATTGGTTGTGTGGCTTTCTGGAATGTGGCTTGTTTCTCTAAAGCCTTCAGTAAACACCCTCCTTGGAAAAAGGTAACCAGCTGGGACTTAAATTGTATGGGGAATGATATCAGAAGATCTGTTTCTGATGGAGCTCATGGTGGCTTATGGGGAGAAGGTTCTATCCAGTATATGTAGTAGAGCTTTATGAGCGAGATCCACCGTGCTGAATGACACCTAGCACACTATAGGTAGCCTGTGCAAATGCTGGACTGTTTGTGAGATTTCCAAGGTCCAACACTGCCAAGAAGTGGACCACCATATTTTGCCCCAAATTAAGCTTCTGGGGGTAGTCCTGTGTAAAGTACCTTGCAGCAGTTTAGTTGTGACACAGGGGTGATACAAAATCTAGTTGTAAAGTCTGGATCTAAAAGAAAAGCTTTCATGCTTCACATTTGCAAGTAAGTTAAGATCCCAGAATAAAATTTCAAATGCCTGAGTGGAAATAAAATAGGCTATATTAACCTTTGCTGAGCTTTAAAATATGCAAGTGTGTTTTTACAGCAAGAACTTTGCAGCATGCAACCTGGTACATGTGGTACTGAAGTATAGCTCTAACCTTTATAGCCCAGGAAGAGAGAATACATTTAAAACTATTTTATACAAACCCTCCAGATCATGCATGCATAATGCGGAAGCAATATCAGACTGAAGAAGCTTCCCACATCATTGTGTTTAAGTGGTTATACATGGAACTTTTGTACAGCAGGAAAAGACTGCAGGCACTTTCATAAAACTGCAAGATTTTTTCTTCTTCTTTTTTTGCTTTGATGCACAAACTGAGCATGTACACCCAGTTTGTAGATGGCACAGTCTATCACCCTTCTATCAGTACCAGAGGTATGAGCACTGGAAGGAGAACAGACAACATGGCAGAGAAGGATGAGGCCTGGAGGGGACTAAAGGGATGCTCAAATGTGCACACTCATCACCTGTACCCAGGAGATGGTTCTTCTTATTCTATTTCCCCTGCTAGGCAGTTTCCAACAGAAGAGTTGGGCGTGAGCCCTACTTTACAGTACATAGTTCTCTGTTGGGTGGGCTGTTAGAGAACAGTCCCTGTGTCAAGGTGTCCTCTGTTTATAGGGCTGACCAGTCCATATCTGGTGTGTGCATATAACAGCACACTGGAAGGGAAGGAACCCTGGAGCTGGCCATCAACAGTTAGCACCTGAACAGTGAACTGAGTTGGCATTCACACAGGCTTTGCCATTATACCCCACCTTGTTGCAATCTTTTCCATTATGGTGAGGTCCAGAGGGTTGTACTCCTAATTAGTTGGGCATTCTGCAGGGAAAGGTGGAAGATAACGTATAAAAACTGGATTGACGGTTTGTATTTTAGCCATTTAATGGATGGAACTCTGTGTACATTGGTATATATCAGGGTCCCATGATCACAGACCTTTACATGGACCTTCACCCATTTGTTTACAGTTGCTTTCTCTTAAAAGGATTCTTTTGGGTTGCTGTTTGTATGACGATGGCTTAGCTGCAATTTACTTATTGTGTTTTAGATTTTACTAGAATCATTGTTCTTGTGTTATTGGTGGTTCTAGTTAATTATTAATTTTAGCATTATGGTGTTTTAAGAATTTTAAAGACTTTTACATCAGTTTATATACTGCAAGCCACTGGGGGAAGATTTTTTACTCTTATAAAGTGGTCTACAAATATTTTAGGTCAATCAATAAAAATTAAGTTGGTTAATAATTCAGTCAGCATACATTTGCATGTAAGAGGAAAAAACAATAGTTCTGTGGGGGAAACACTATGTTTTTAATGGGCATTTATGTGTCACAGCAGCCATACATTCTGCAGAAGAGGTATTCTCCCCTTCTGTCACAGGAAAGAGGGAATGCCTCTTGAGACAACACTTGCCATTTACAGTCGCTTCTTCTGAATAGCCAAAAAGGAGGGAATGTATCTCAAATTAATCCCTGGCAGCTCCTTAGTTGATCAAAATATTTTGAATCAATCAATCAATGAACAGATAAGACTCCACATCCCTAAAATTTAGATTTCTGTTCCTCAGTAGGCAGTCCACCAAAACCATCTGCCAGTTGCTCATCCTGTGCAAGTCTTTGCTTCCACACCTTCCAATGATGCTCCTCATCATGTATCTGATTCCTGGCCACCCCATAGTGCTCAGCACTAAGGAAATGTTATGATAAGGGCCGGGTCCCAGTTACTGAGCCCAGTACATTAGTAGGGCAGGTGATGACCCTAGAGCAGTTTGTTGAGAAGTAAAGATGGTCAACCCAACTCGTTCCTCAAAGATGGTCAACCCAACTCTTTCCTCAAAGAGTCTTATGGAATCTTAAAGATTAAGGGTGCAATTCTCTGCATGCTAAGTCAGAAATAAATGTTTGTATCTCAACATGCATAGTATCACACCCTAGCAAATTGATGTTGGCATAAACTTTTCCTTGGCTTAGGCTGTTTACACAGAAATTATGTTTATTTTGAAGAATGCTAAGTGATTTATAGTTTTATATCAAGTTTAATTTGTTTGGGTAGGCATAGGTCAGTATGAGAAAAGCTGAACTGGGCACCTGTATTTTGAATGTGAAATTGGAAAAAGATGTTGTTATTACTCATTAATTTCATTAGCATTCAACACTTTGGATGAGAGTATTTTCCTTTTCATGCCTAAATGGCATTCATGGAAAAAATGATTCAGGCTTTAGAGTTTTAAAAGAAACTGTAGTGAGTTCTAAGAACAAATAAATTTTGAAATGGCTTCTTTGCGTCAAAGGAGGTTTTGAATGAAAGCAAAATGCCACTAAGTTTCCGGTCACACTGGTATATTTGTCATGACTGCTCAGTGAAACCTGAAATATTCATGACGAGATTAAAGCTAAAGCCCAGCATATAAACCATCCATGCTCAGTATTAAATAAACAATATACCTAAATGGCCTTAGAGGTCTCTACTTTCTATATATCAGCTACAAGAAGCTTCATAATGTGACTTTTATTTATTGGCTCACCAGCATAGACAATGTTATTATTAAGCCATCATGCATTTCAGCTATAGTTTTTTTCAATCTGATTTAAGCATTGGAAAGGGAATTATTTATAACTAAAATGGTTCCCATGCTATCACCTTCATGTCTTTTGCTATTTGCTCTTGGCCTTCCTTTGCAGTTTGCTGATGTCAGAGACAGAATATTGGTCGATATAATAAATGTGAAATGATAACACCGGGGAGGGCTAGTTTGAAACGTGAAAAAGAAGCAACATCACCATGCTCCTTTTATTACATTTGCATTCCTGTGCCAGAAGAATGGCTACTCTGGGAAAACAAAATAAGCCGAAATTATTTCTGGGCACTGCTCACGGCAGGCAGGCAGGCAGGCAGGCAGGCAGGCATTTTGTAAGCCTCAGCCGCACTGCCCATGGCAAAGAGCTGGGAAGTAGCTTGCTGTTTCTGTACAACTAAGACACACAGAAGGGGTAAGAACATACCTGGAAAAACCGAGAAGGAATGGTCTTTGACCTGGACACGCCATGAAGGTCGGTTGCTTCAAATCTGACAAAATGTATGTTGTCCCGGGCGATCTGTTCTTCAATGCGTTCGATTTCAGAGACCAAGTAAAGAGGGATGGGAAAGCCAGGATGTTTTACACCAGAATCTCTTCTGTGATCTAGGAAAGGAAAGGAAAGGAAAGGAAAGGAAAGGAAAGGAAAGGAAAGGAAAGGAAAGGAACTTGATCATGCTCAGGAAGAGTTAAAATGTCTGTTGTCACCATTGTCATACTGGAATATCTTTTCAACACAGTGCACCATCCCACACAGAGTCAGGTGCTGTGCGGCAGCCCATTGATCTCAAGGTCCAGAATGCACCAAACTCCACGTGGGAATGGGGACAGAGTACACGAGGGCTGGACAAAGCACACTGTACAAAGAATAACTCGGCAATATATAGAGGGCATCTCTGTCTGCATGCATGCATTTTTTGCTATGAGTTTTTCTACACAAGGTCTTTGTGGTGTACTCCTCCTTCCTTACTCCTGGTTATTTGAAGTTTGTTTAAACAATGCTGTTGTCCTGACCCTCTGGTTTTGCTTCTGTTTCTTAGCAGTGTTTTCCTATTCCAAAATAAACCTCTTGGAAAATGGGGTATCATTTCCTGATGGCTAAAGAAATTTCTTCTTGTGCATTTGTGCTACTCTTCTCTACCACAGTGCCATCTAGAGGTTATGGTGCTGGAAAAGAAATGCTCCTCACAGTGTTTGGAATTCAGTTCTGTGACAAAAACAAAAGTAGATACAGTGGATTAACAGCCGCATGTAGCAATAGCTCATACGGTGAGCCAAGATCCATTGATCTGGCCATAATTCTGAACATGTTCACTGGAACATGGAGCTTCCTTCCAAGTAAACACACATGGGCCTATGCTGTATGTTATGCGATTCTGCTAAATCCAGTACGAGAAAGTGAAGGAGAGAGGGCATCAGAAGAGCATTTGTTGGATGCAGTAAGCAGTGTTCTGCTTCCATGGTGGCCAAGCAGGTAATCTGAAGGAAGTCCACGAACAACGCAGAAAAACAAAAGCACCCTTTTGCTCCTGTGGATATGCAGAAGTAATGTAAATAATCAAGATTAGTAGCCTTTCAGAGCAAATAGCTTAGGACTAATTTAGAACATGGAATCCTGAAGAACTACAACTCCAATAATCCCTGGCTCTTGGCCATGCTGACTAGGGCTTATAGGAGTTGCCTTCCCACAGTCAATAATCATAAAATTGGAAGACACCTCAGTGGTCATCTAGTCTATCCCCCTACTGTTGCAGGCAATGCTTAACCACACAGAACTGTAGTCTGAAAGCTGGCTAAGAGATGGGCTGGGCTGATCACTGCAAATATCACAGTAGTGGCTTGTGCAGACATTTTATACACAGTCCAGTTGAGCAGCTTCCAAACTGCAAAATGGCAAACAGTGTTCCAGTAAAAGATGCATCCATCACATCTATCGTACAGGTCACAGACTCTGTGCTAATACAACAAATAATAGCATTCAGAGGCTTGCTGCCATAACTTTACGAGTTTTAGCTCAATGTGCTTGCAGTTAAACCAAAGAATATCTTCTGTGCTGCCTCCAACCTGCAATATCCTGTTAGTGCTCAGCCTGGTGCTATTTCCTTGTTTTGATTTGTGTATGCTATTTGCAAAATTAGAATTTCCTGGCTCTACAGAGACCAGGGTACTCTGGCCCACTGCAACAGAAACTTGGAGACAAATTAGATATGATGTGGGACACTCCTGGTTAGAAGCCCAACATCTGTTTTCGGTATTTCCAAGCATCTGTGTGTGCAGAGGTAGACTCAAACAGGGGCAGTGGTGCTGGAGCTTGTCTTCCTCCATCCCTAAAACTGCTTATCTAGCCTATGTCCCCCTGCAGAAGCTGCTGCTAGTCCAGTTGTGGTGGGGGAGACAGGCAGATGTATCTGCATCCCCCCCCCCCCACACACACACACAGTGGGAGATCCTGGTGGTGGGAGATCATTTCAATTGGAGAAATATCTTGGAGGGAAGATTGTTGTTGTTTTTAATGTGGCCCTGTGCTGATCCCCACCACATCCTTTTTCTGAGCTGAAGCCATGGATGTCAGAAGAGCTGACCACACATTTCCTGCATCTGCCTACTGTGGTCCTTCATCATGACCTCACTGACATCACAGCGCTTACAGGCATAGAGAAGACCTCAGCAGATGACTGAGGGCTTGTAGCTACAGCCTCTGCCTTACTCAGCATACATCAGTTCATAACTCTCAATGCTAACAAGCCCACTTCCCTTCGCCCATGGGGGGGCCTTGAATCTTGAAGGCATCCGTTGGCCGGATGGACAAATACACATGCACCCACATCCTTCACCTTCTACTCCCAGGCTCTAAATTCTAAAACGCTTTGAAACCAGTTGCAAAATTATTCCAGAGATTGACAGGGGAATGTGTGGTGGCCCAGAAGCAGAGAATCTTTTCCGGCCCAAGGGCTGGATCCCATTGCAGAACAGCTCACAGCTTTCCAGCGGTGACAGAGCTGAACGTTCCAAGTCCTCCCCTTGAATTCTGCTCCCGCCGGTGTATCAATGGCTGCATGTATCTGAGCATGTCTTGTCACAGGCAAGCAGCAAAGAATCGCTCAGTGGCACTTGAAAGTAGCATTTCTGCTGTGTCTGCTCACAAGTTAGCAAGGCAAGCCCTCGCATGACTTCTTAAAAGCAAGCCCTACATGGTGCAGAGAAAGCAGATCTGAATCTCTCACCAGGCTTCTCCCCTGGCCTGACTCCTTCTGCCCTGCAGGGGAAAGCCAGTCAGCTGCGGATCTGAGATGGAAGCGTTTCTCTCCATGGCAAAGGTGCCCTGCAGATGTTTTGGATTGCAGCTTCTGGCATTTCTGACCATTGCTCCCGCTGGCTGGAGCTGAGAATAGTTAACAGCCGCAAGGCAACAGGGTGGAGAATGCCCCAATGGAATTGTAATTCCATGGAATTACATGGAAGCTGTTTTTACTGTACAAATGGTCATCCAGAAGAGGGGTGTGGGGAGTGCAAGAGAGATTTCCAGAAATAGTTTTCAAAGCTTTTGAGAAAGAGAAAGGCCCTCCAGCTGTGGTGCTAATTGTCTGAATGCCAATTGTGTGCGATTTTTTATAGTAAATGGCAGATGTAGGGAGGCAACTTCAAGACTGGAGAGGGTGAGAAGGGAGGGTTTAACTGTTTCACTCCTGGTCTCAACAACAAAAAAAGCTATTATTTGCATCAAGAGCAACATTTCAGTAATGCCAGTAGAGTGAAAGGCTTAAACACTCCCTTCCCTCCCCTTCCAGCAGCTGTCATTAAAAAAAGAGAACATTCACACTATTTGCATTGTGTCTACTTCTATTTACATCATGTCCTGAGCCTCTCAATTTTTTAAAAATGTTTTAGAGAAAAAACCACCTTGAGTGCCATTTTCAATAGAAAGGCAGGGTACAAATATAAGCAATTAAACTGACTGAACAAATGAGGGTCACGTGTCTTGCACCCAGCAGTATCTGATAGGCAGTTTAGCTCCGTAAGCATCTTAGGGTGCACTCTTATTCAAGTTTAACCAGCCCAAAGGCCTGTACTTCTCAGCATGTCCCAGCCGGCTATATGAGTGCACCTTTCAGGGCTAGAAGAGCTAGTGCGTATCAAGACTCGCTCTCATGGGTCAAAGCCTGTTGCTCTGCTACCTGCACCAGGGACACGGGGCCATGGCAGGATTCTGCAGCCCAAGTTCAATCTTCCTGCCATGCTTCCCCGAGGGTGATGCAAGGTTTTTCCTGGGTACTTCCCCGTGGCGCAGGGAAGCCTGGGATCACACAGTCCGAGCGCCAGGTGGCTGGCTCCATCCTCATCCTCATCCTCACCCCCATCCCCCATGCCCTCGTCATCCTTCTGAGCTCGGCTGCAGTCCTCAAGATAGCTGTGGGATGATGGCGTTCCCTAGGAACAACACCCTGTTATGTGCTTTCCTGGTTGTAAGGCAATATATTTGGGGGGTTCTTGGTCCTGAATGGACTATTAAGACCCACGGGGTTTCCACTTCCAGCTTCTCCTGCTGGAGGTGAAATCCAGTTCTGGCTTGTTGCTATGGATCAGTGCAGCTGCCTGCATTCATGGGCTTTTCCTGGAACTATTCATAGACTCTCTTTTCTGGCTATGGGGACTGGTCTCATGGGCAGCCACACTTCAGTATTTACCACTGCAACACTGGTTCTCCAGGACAAGACCAAGACCCGTATGGAGCCCACGATGCTCCAGCACAAATTCTGCCTGGATGCTCTGAGGGAATTTGCTCTTTGCCTGGCATCTAAGGGCTTCTCTCCTTCTTTCCTGGAAGCCTGTTGCAGCTATTCTATAATGCTCTTTTATAAAGTTTGGCATGCATTTTTGACTTAAGCGAACACTGATTCACTGATTGTTTGGCTTGTTGTCATGGCATTGGCTTACCATTCGTTATTGGTCCTCATTTTATTGCAGCCTGCCTTGGGTTATCATGAAGAGTGGCAATGTGCAAATGCACGTGGCCAGAGAGAGAGAGAGAGAGAGAGAGGGAGAGGGAGAGGGAGAGGGAGAGAGAGAATGCAAAATGCTATGGCTGCTTAATAGATACAGCACATCCCTGATGCAGCCTTCCTTGATAGCATGCCTTCCAGATGTTTTGGGCTGCAATCCCCAACTGTCCCGGCCAGCCCAGGTAATGGTCAGCAGGGGCAGGAGCTGCCATCCCAAACATCTGGAGGGCGCCTCGCTGGGGCTTTGGCAGCACACAGAGGGATGAGGCTGAGCATCCTTACCAGGCATGCGCTGAAATGTAGCGCCTGGAGCACTGCCCACACTTGGGGAAGGTGTCTGTTGCTCCTCAGCAGGATGCTGCGTTGCCTCAACTTTGGCTTGCTCGTTCTCCAGCCCGCCAGAGCTGAGGAGCAGCTGTGGCTTGTCTTCCTGCCCTGCTGCATGCATGTGCACCGCAGGGACTGCCTTGTCATCTCCCCTCAGATGAGGAGGAGCCGTTTCCGGGCATCTACTAGGCTTCAGTAGCAGCGTATGGGAGATGGTTTTGCCAGCTTTACCACGGTTCCTGGCCCTCATATTCAGCAGTGGGCTCTCTCTCAACAGGTTTTTCAACTCCTGCAATGTTTCTTTAGAAATGCCAGGCAACAGAGCCAAAGAGTCTTTGCCGTCTTCTTTTTCCTGGGTTGCTATGTGACGATCTCTGTCTTTTTGCTCCGTTGCATGAGGCATACACTCATCCTGCACTGCACCAGTTTTTTCTTCACAGCTTGTTGGTGACGCTGAATCCTTCCTGTTTCTTGCAGCATCTAATTGAAGAGTGTGCTCTACTTTGCCCTCTGAGTTTGTTTTCAACCTCTGATCTTTACCCAACATTTCTACTCCCCAAGGACCTTCCGGACTACTTTCAAGTGGGGGCTCTCCACCCTGTTGCAGACCTTCTCTTACAGGACAGTCTCCCTTAGGGTTATCATCATCTGATGCCTGTGTTGCTGGGAAGTCTGGTGGGTTCTCAAGAAGTTTATCTGTGCCAGGTCCATCACGACTAAATACTCTTGGATCAGAAGCACCTGAAGAATGAGATGCGTCCATCATGTCACCTCCAGCTGTGGAGATTTCTTGTCCAGTGACTTTGACTCTTCTTTTGCTCCTTAGTCCACAAATGCAGTTGCCATCAGTTTCCTCATTTTCATTTCCAGCAGTGCTCTGTAATCATCAGCAAATACCAACAATGCACTTGAATCAGATGAAGAGATTCAAACCTTTTACAGAATATTTTCTCAGTTTTACACACTTTTTGAATGGATTCCATTATGAAACCAGGCCCAAAGCACAATACATGTGAATAAAGCACATCATCGTGCTCATACTGACTGCTTTTTCATGAAGTGGAAATCCGTCGTGCATAACCAGCCAGGCCAGGTTGTTTTGTTGTGGAAATCCAGACTACTTCCCTCAGGGCAGCTTGTGGCTTGTTCTAGGACTGCTGGACCCATGATGGGTTGGCATGCCATCCAGACCAAACACACTTTCCCCATCACAGGGCCAGGACTCGTGAACCACTTACCAAGAATGGCTAAAACCCCAAGCTGCTTGAGCGGAGCGTGCCCAGGTCTTGGCCAGTGACGGCTGCCCTGCCCAGTGCCCAAGCCACACTTCGGAGGGACCATCCTTGGCTCACTTGCCTCTCTCTGATCATGCACGTTTTTCAGGCACTACAGCTTCCCCCACTTTTTTTTCCTTTCTCCCTCTCTCCAGTTGACCGCCAACAACAGCACTTCCAAGGCGCCAAAGCAGCACATTAGAGGGACGGTCACTGGTGTGCCACTTTTCCCCGCTTGTGGTAGAAATGTGCACAAATGGTTTGGTGATGTCCTTGTGGGAGTGCAAGTGCACAACTCCAACTGTCTGAAAGGTGAAGCCTTGCCTGATCTATGTCCTCATAAGTGCGTGTGATCAAAACAGGCACCATCCATCAACACTGACCAGGCCGTGTGGCACACACATGACTTTGCTTTCGTTTGACAGCTGTCAAACGACAAGCTGCCAAGTGACAGCAAAGGCATGAGAAGGATCCTTGCTTTAAAAAGGGGGTGGCAAGTACGGCATCCCATTTGCGGTGAAATCCTATAAGTTTCAAGTGTGGACCTTTCAGTTGCCCTCCACTTTCCCAAGACTCTAAGTGCTGAGGAAAATGGAAAAAGACAGGCCATCCCATTTACAGCAACACTTTTGACAACCGTTCCACAAGCCATCCATACCATGTAGCTTATCTGCAGAATAGGTTTCTGTGTCAAGCAAACCACCCTTGGTTTGGATCTAGTTTTCAGCGCAGAAGCAGGCTCCTACATCACTTCTCTCTACAACAACTGTTCCACCCCCTGAAAATACTACACAGGTTCAAAGGGGTGATGGGAAGGAGGATCCCCCAAAACTGGGTGAAGAGTCTTCCAGGAGCTGAACCTATCCATCCATGGAAGAAGTTCCGGGCTCTAATCTCTTACAAATACAGAAAGATATTGAATACGATATACTTCACATTCCCAGTTCTTTTAAATTTGTATTATAATCAGAAATGCAAAGGAAACTTCATGATATTTCCTTATCTTGATTCTTTTCTGGAGACCTACAGGGAATCTAGTAATGCCCTGCATCAATAAGGCAAGATAAACAGGACATCAGGATGGATATTCCTTGCACTGTGCGCTGGTCCAGGGAACAGCAAACTCCCTACGACTTTTTATAGCATTTTTTTCTTGGAGATGAAGTGGACAAGGAAAAGGTAGGTGTCTCCCCTTATACAACCATCTGCTCATATTTGCCAGCAGCAATTTTTAAAAAATCCTCTGCCAAGCCTTGATGGGGACACTTAGGAATGCATATACAAATAAGTGCTATCATTCAACAGTTGAGAGTGCACATACACAACACTTTCCAAAGGGCTTTAAAAGCCAGTAATCAGAGTGGGAATGAAGGCAGGATTCAGTCTCTTCTAGCTCAGCTTCTCTGCCAAACAGCCCATTAATCTGTGGGATTTGAACCCTGTTGAAAGGGTAAAGCCCTAACTGCATAGGATCAAAGGACATGTCTACAGTGCTTAATCTGTAGAGAAAGACATCAAAGCTTCAAACATTCTTGCCCCTAATCTTGTGTGAGGACATTTTTAGTCACTAGAATGTGGAGAGAAATTTACCTGGTGCCTCTTCAGAGGAATTTTTTTGTTTATTCTTGCTTCATAAATTCCAGGGCTAAGCCCTGGACTTGAAAACAGATGCTGTGGCTGAACCTTGGTGATCCCTGCCTGTCTTGAATCAAAGTGACACAAGACTGACACACACAAAGCATGGGTTGTGCACTGGTGATCCCTTATTCTTGATTCCTTACTCTTGGCTCTTTAGAAAATACTAAACTCCAGTTTAACTTCTGCATTCTTTTCAGGGCATTTTCCAGATTTCTTTAGAATGGGAACGGTGGTGCTGTTTGAGGATCTGAGCAACTCTTCTATAGCATAACTCCATGGAAAAACAACTATGGAAATGCAATTGATGTAGAGCTTGGATCTCAGTTCTGACACAAAACTGGAAGCTGATCCATAGAAGAACCACCTAGTGCAGAAAAGCTCGAGATCGTACCAGATCGACAGAACCACAATGCACTATTGATTTAGTCTCCAGTACCTGCAAAATGGCACCCATGAAACAAGCGACCATTGTCCAGGAGTTTGCTTATTCTGAAAGAAATGTGGAATACCCTCGTTGAGAGCAAAATTTCCAAATGTATGTCCAGTTCTGAAAGGGTCTGCCAGCCACAATAGCCGCATGCTTGCTGTTGATTGAAAAAGAGCCTATGTGCATAGAGACAAACAGGCAAAGGTTCTTCCCATGATGAGCAACTCCAGTGGTCCAGGAGTTTGCGAGTGTGCAAGGGGACCTGGCATGCATGCAATTCATTACTGCAGCAAGTGATGCTAGCATGGCTGGCAGGCGCATCAGCACAGGAGGAGTGGTGGAGCTGAGGAGGAGCAGTCTCTCCTCCCCGTTATGTCTTTGGGGAGCGTGTGAAGATAGGAGGGTCTTATGATGCCTCCCTTGAATATCACCAGCAGGGCACAAAAGCAATCAGCTTCCTATCTTGCTTGTCCCTAAGCAACAAGAACCGCTGCCCACCAAACACTATAATTAGCTGTTGTTTCTTGATAAAGAAGTTCACTCAGGAAAGTTAGCTTATTTGAAATGGCCCCTTTGCAGATTCTCATCTGAAATTTATTCCCCTAAAGGGTACAGTTAGGTACAGTTTCTGAATCTTCAAATAATGCCACATTTCACAGCGTACATCAACAACTAAATGCAACCAAATCTTTCAGTAAGTTCTTCTTGTCAAAAAGGAGATGGAGTTCCCAACACATAAAGCAAACTTTAAATGACCCCCAGAGGAAAGTAAAAGTGTGAAATGGAAAAATACTCATCAATATTGCATCTCTTATAGAAATTAGGTGATGTGGAAAGGGAATCCTCAGTGAGATCTTGATAAAAGAAGAATTACAAGGCAGACAGTTTTACTTTCTCTCTATAAACACCATCTGGAAATTAGAAGACTTCAGGGAATATGTATTTGAAAAACAACATTAAAGTCAATGTAATACAGAAATAAACAGAAGTAATGGCAGCCATTTGAAGTTCTAGTTAGTTCGATTTAAACACTGGGCATTAACTACGTCTGGAGATAGGTGGTACTGTATGTGTTTTCCAGGGAATTTTAAGTGCTGGTGTAGGTAAACCTGGTCTGCACATGAGCAGACTGAGATGACAAAGTCTCGAGGCAGTAGATGGAAGGAGGTAACGAGTAAGACACGCAGGAGGGAGAAGCGCATTTGCATACTTCCCTGATTTGAAATATAGTGACTTGGGGTACCGCATCACCAGCCTTCTGTGCAGTGGAGATTGTTCTCTTGTTGCCAGTAATGGGATGCAGCCACTAAAAGGGCAAATGCTATTTTGGGTTGCTTTAATAGAAGTTTTGCTTCCAAATCACAAGAGGTAGAAGTTCTCCTACACTCAGCACTAGTCCGAGCTCGTCTAGAGTACTGTGTCCAGTTCTGGGCACCAAAGTTTAAGAAAGATGCAGAAAAAGTAGAAAGGGTTCAGAGGAGTGCAACAAAGATATTCTGAGGTCTAGAAACAAAGCCCTATGAGGAGAGACTGAAAGAACTGGGCATGTTTAACCTCGAGAAGAGAAGACTGGGGGGTGGGGGGGATATGAGGGCAACCTGCAAATACATGAAAGGCTGTCACAAAGACAAAGGACAAGATTTCACTCATCCCAGAGTGTGGGACATGAAATAATAAGCTCAAGTGGCAACAAACCAGATTCAGGCTATATATCAGGAAAGATTTCCTCACTGTCAGAGCAATACAACAGCGGAGCCAGTTGCCTAAAGAGGTGGTGGGCTCTCCCACACTTGAGGCATTCAAGATGAAACTGGAATGTATCTGATGCTGCACCTAATCACAGCGGCGAGGATTGCATTTGCTCAATACTGGAAAAGTGAGGAGCTGCCCACCGAAGGATTGATTGTAAGAAAGATCTTGGACTGTCCAGAAATGGATAGATTGACTTTATCGTTGAAGGAGAAAGAGGATATTGACTTCTATCGAACTTGGGACTCTTTTGATAATTGGCTGGAGAAACGGGACCTGGTGTAAATTTAGAGATGTTTATTAAACTATTATAAA